AGTGGAGCTAAGGAGGAGGAGGAGGAGGAGGAGGAGGAGGAAGAGCCGGAGCCAGCGGCGGCGGCCAGGAAGGCGGCGGAGGAGCCGGAGCCGGAGCCGGAGCCGAGGCCGGGGCAGCGCCGGGGCCGTCGGGGAGGGGGCGCGGGGAGGGCCCGGCTTGGCTCGGCTTCGCGGCCCGCAGCGGGCCATGAGCTCTTAGGCCCCAGTCCCCTCCCCGAGATCTCGGCCCTGTCAGGCCCGGCCCGAGCAGCCGCAGCCCGAGCAGCCGCTGCAGCGGCAGCAGCCTGAGCCCGGGGCCGAGGGGCCCGAGAAGGCGGCCATGGCGTCCAACATGGACCGGGAGATGATCCTGGCCGACTTTCAGGTGAAGGACCTAGGGATGGGAGGGAGGGACCGGGGGAGGGCGCTGGACCCCCGCCCCTCTGCCCTACTAGGGGACCTTCCAACATCTCCCCCGACCACCCTGCTCGCACTCCCTGCCTTCTCCTCTGCCCCTCTCCGAGGGCTCCCTCCTCTCCCCTGCGGTTCCTTCCTCCTCCCTTCTTCGGGTCCTCCCTCCTCCTCTCCCCTCCAGGTCCTCCTTCTCCCTCCGGATCCTCTTGCCCCCTCTGGGTTCACCTCCCTCCCCCCTCTGGATTCATCGCTTCTCTCCGGGTCCTCCCTCCTCTCCTCTCCCACTCCCTCTTCATCTGGCCCCTGCCTCCTGGTCCTCACTCCTCCCGTCTGCTGGTGTCGCTTGCTCCCCCCTTTTCTAGACCCTTCTTCCATGTCTCCTTCTCTTTTGGTCCATCCACCGAACCCCTTTGCCCCAATCTGCTCCACCCTCCATTCCTCTCTTCTGGTGTCAGAGGGCCGCTTCCAGGGAGAGTGTGCCTGTGTGTTGGTACGTGCTATCCTCAGGGGAAGGAGGGGAGGGGAGGAGAGGAAGATTATTGGAGAGGTGGATGAAGGAGGAAGAAGAGCCCCAGTGTATGTACTGTTCTCAGGCACAGGCCCCAGAGGGTGGCTTGGGATACGATAAAGCTGGTTTTCTGTGGGCTGAGGTGCCAATGTGAAGAGAAAAGAGACTGACTTTAAATACAAAAGTTCCAGACAGTTAATTCACAAGCATGAGAACTCATTTTTGTTCTTTGATTCTTCCTCTGCCCCCAACTTCAGTTTTGAACTCTTCTTGTTAGGAATTGGTAAATTGCTTCTAGATATTTTCTTTATTGATATCCTTTTTCTAGGAATGTTACAATTGGGAATACTTCCTTTTCTCTTTATTTGTGTGGAAGTACTTTTTCAATCCTAAATTCAGAAAATCATGATGAGCCAACTTGGAGGTCTTTAATGCCATTGATATATCTCATCAAAGCCCTTTAAAAGCAGAAACTGGCATCCTCACCAGAGATGGATAATTATTTTTAAAATTGCACAATGAAGACCTGTGAACACCACTATGTTTCTCAAAACTTCATGACAAAGAGAGTGCTGAGAAGCTTTTTCACTTTTTTTTTTCTTCCATTACTATGTGTGCTGGAGCTCGTTCCCTGTCAGAAACTTTATCCTTCTTGGTTATTAACCCCTGCACTTGAACACTCTCTTGTGCTTCATGAAACAGTGTTCTTCCTTGATGAAATTTTAAAGGCAATGTTTACACAGTGCTTTTTTTCCCCCCTTAAGTTCATCATATTTGCCAACTAGTTGTTCTGATAATATTTTCTCCTCTACTTAACATTTATCTGATAATATTTTCTCCTCTACTTAACATTTATTCTCTACCTAATATTTAATGTTACAACATAAAGATATGTTGTCTGTAAATTGTTAAAATAAAGCATTTTACTATGTTTTTGGTAGTGTGTTTAAAGTCAACTTAAAATTTGTTTTCCTGGCTCATTTTGTCATGGTTACCTCCCTCCCCCCACTTTTATTCTTATTTAGCTTTTTATTCCTAGGGTAGGCAGTACTTTGAAAAGTACACCTTGCATTTCTGAGCTTAGCCTTTATATTCTTATGGAATTGTCATAGTCTTGGGGAAAACCATTCAGACAAAGAAAACTTAGTTTTGTATTTACCTTCTGTCATTAAAGTTTATGATCAATAACTTTTGTTTTATCCTACCAAACTTCTTTTTTGTAATTATTCATTATCTGCCTTGTGTTGAGTAAGACAGAAAAGTCCTGACACTTGTCTTGAATGAGTTTTCATCCTACAAATGAAGGGATTATGTTTGTAAAGTTTTTCTAATAGCATTTGTCATTTTAGCATGGAAATGAAGCCATGTGGTAATTGTGCCAGGATATTATAATAACTTTAGTTTTACTTCTTTACATCGTAATAATATTTCACATCTACCTGGTACTCGTTAGTTTACAGGAGGTCATAAAATCCTTTATTTACATTGTCTCATTTGATCTGAACAAGAAGATTGAAGAAACAGGGTCCAGTATTGTTATCCCCACTTCACAGATGAAGAAATTGAGATTTGCTTCGGTGGGAGACTCCCTGAGGTTACCTCATAAGTGGTGAAACTCCGACTTGCACTTAGCTCTCTGACTCTAAATCTGATATATTTTTTACATGCCATAATTAGCATTGGGAAAACTGTGGAAAACAGTTGTTTGCTTCATGGAAAAAGACAGAATACTTCATTGTTCTGTATTGTGGCTATTTTCATATTGGCAAGAGAACATTATTAGTGGAGAAAAGTTATTAAAAAACTGAAAGTACATTCAACATGTAGCCTTTTTTATGTTAGCAACTTTATATTCTCTTAATAAACTATCCATTACCAGAGTTACGGAACTGTTGTTTCTTTGGCATTAGTTTTTTTTTTTTTAAGGAGTTGAATAGTTTTCCTATTTTAATATTATATAAAGCCTTTGAGAGAAAACACTGAGATTAGTTGGCTGCCAGTCCTGTTTTAAGAAATACTCTAGCTTTTCATAGGGTTTATAGACCGTGACAGGTCACCTGCTTTGGCTCCTTCTTTGCTGGGCAGTCTTGGGCAAATGAACCACCTTCCTATTCCACAGTGATCATAAATGAATTCATCTCACTTGCACTGTAAGGCACTTGTGAGAACTAGCAATAGCTTTTAGAGTTGAAGACTTCTTTTTAAAGAAAGGAGCTTTGAAACTATTAGAAGTGTTTAAATTCAAATCATGTTTATTGTAAACACCAAGTTTTGTTGGTTGTTGCATGATGGGATCAAACAAAATGCAATTTGTATTTGCAGGGAGTGTTGTGGCTTGAACCAGAATGTGAGCTTCTCTTTAGCTCAGTGAGTTGGAGGGGAAATATTCAGCTTGGTATTTACCTGATATAATCAGGATTTTGTCAGGCTGTGCGAGTGAAATCTTTTAAAATATCGGGGATCTTTGATTTACTAAAGTGTGGATGCATCCTCCATGGAAGCCAGGTACTGTGTAACTGCCATGACTGAGCAGTTGTTCACCCTGTAGCTAATCAGGTGTGTTCCTCTCCAGACTCAGCTGAACTGGTCTTATTAGTCTGTGCTTGTGCTTTGTTGGCAGGATCTGAGGAGGAGTAGTAGTAGTGGTGGTAGTGGTGGTAGTGGTAGTAGCAGTAGTAGTAGTAGTACTAGTTACTAGTAGTAGTAGTAGTACTAGTAGAAGTAGGAGATCCAGTTGATCCAAAGTGAGACAATGGATGCAGAGCACTTTGCAAACCTTAAGGCACTACAGAAATGTGACTTGCAGTTCGCAAAAGTGCTTCACATCCATTGTCTCACTTTGGATCAACTATGCCTTGAAGTGAAAGCAAAGCTTTAGTGAAATCCTTGTAATAAATGAAAATTATCAAAAATTGTTTTAAGAAGCTGGCAAAATCTTGAATGGAAAGATTGCCAACAAATATTCCTTTTAACCTGTTATTTTAAATTCTGCTCTAAGCTGAATGCAGTTTTAGTGTAGCTAGACTTTGAAAAATATTGCCAGGAATCAACTTGGAGTCAGTAGTGTTAGTATGGTATGTTTCTGGTAAAGAATTAAATAAATATGGTGGTATATTTTTAGGTCTGACTCTCAGGAGCCAGGAGGGGTAGTAGAAAAGGTATTTCTTAGGTTTAAAAGGCTAGGCAAACATTGATGAGTCATAGGGTTTTTTCCTCAATATTTTTCTCCAACAAAGAGATGAATTCAACTGAAATCTCTGACTCTTGTTTGTTTTTCCTTGCTTATGTTGAAATGTAGAATAAAGATGATCAGCAAATCAAAACATTCCGAGCCGAATATCTCTTCATCTGAGAATGGGAGTGGTGGGAGTGGGTGGAGTGGGTGGGGTGGGTGGGTGGGGGGTAAGAGAGACTAGGTTTGGGATTTTATTGGTATAGGGAGCTTCTGGATGAGGAAACTCCCTTCACCATTGCAGGTCAGCACCTTCTCTGAAGCTTCTAGTCTTAGGGAATTGTCAGAGTCATGAGAATTTAGATGACTCACCCAGGGTCACACAGCCAGGATGGATCAGGATCACTCTTAGTGTCTGAGAGTAGTAGCATAAAGACAATTTTACTTTAAAGTTCTCAGTAACTAGTTGCATAATTTGCTTCTTGAGATGAGGTTTGTTTGATTAGGTTATTTCTAGAACTCTAAATTTGACTCTGGAATAGCTAATCAATGACTACACTCCTCCGTTCTCCCCTCCCCTTCCCCCTCTCCCCCAAGAAAAAGAAAAATGACAGATTAATTTTCTTATACTATCACTGGATGACCCATCATTGGGAGTGGGTGAGATCTTTCTTTGGGGACATTACAAATAGCTTTGCTTTTTAGGTGGAGTCCCATGCATGCATTCTGCATTTTTAGGGATGAATGGTCTTATCTTCCCCACTTTATGCTTCTTAGCCATTAAGAAGGGACACGGAAAACAAGAGACTGCTCACTTGAAGTAAGAGAAGAATTTTCACCAGCAATGACATTTTCCTCCAAACTATCTCCCTGGAAGGAAGTCTTGACTGCTCCATTGAAAACTGGCTTTTTTTACCTTTCGTTTGTGGTGGCCCCACATCTGAGTTTTCCTCTGTATGCCCATTGAGGCAGCCTTTTCAGCCTTCCAGGTGATGGCGTGGTCTGCATGCTGCACTTGGGCCCAAGCCAAAGCAGGAAGAATGCTTATCTGTTAATTTTGCTCTGGATAGGTTCTCCCATGCGAGGATGTCATCATGTATCTGTTGAAGTTTCCATCATCAGAGTTCTTTTCTGAAGGGTAGCTGACTTTTCTGTGATGCTGGAAGGCTCATTCCTCACCTGTTCCTTAATAACATTTTATTCTTTCTTCGTTCTCTGAGTCCTCTCAACCTGCCACTTCTTTCCAGTGCCTATAAGCCTTTTCCCAGCTTGGTCATCTAGCACAATCCTC